GCTAGCCATATGCAGAAAGCTGAAACCGAATCCCTTCCTTACACCTTGTACAAAAATTAACTCCTGACCGATTAAAGATGTAAACATAAGACCTAACACCATAAAAACCCTACAAGAATACCTAGGCAATACCATTCAGGACACAGGCATGGGCAAGGACTTCATGACTAAAACACCAAAACCAATGGCAACAAAAGCCAAAATTGACAAGTGGGATATAATTAATCTAAAGAGCTTCTGCACAGCAAAAGAAACTATCATTAGAGTGAACCAGCAACCAACAGAATGGGAAAACATTTTTGCAAGCTACCCATCTGACAAAGGGCTAATATCCAGAAACTATAAAAAACTAAAACAAATTTACAAGAAGAAAACAACCCCATCTAAAAGTGGGTAAAGGAGATAAACAGACACTTTTCAAAAGAAGACATTTATGCAACCATCAAACATGAAAAAATGCTCATCATCACAGTCATTAGAGAAATGCACATCAAAACCACATTGAGATAATACCATCTCACGCCAGTTAGAATGGTGATCATTAAAAAATCTAGACACAACAAATGCTGGAGAGGAAGTAGAGAAATAGGAACACCTTTACACTGTTGGTGGGAGTGTAAATTAGTTCAACCATTGTGGAAGACAGTGTGGCGATTCCTCAAGGATCTAGAAATAGAAATGCAATTTGACCCATCAATCCCATTGCTGGTTATATACCCAAAGGAATATAAATCATTCTACTAAAAAGACACATCACACGTATGTTCACAGAGGCACTGTTTACAATAGCAAAGACTTGGAACCAACCCAAATGCCCATCAATGATAGAAGGATAAAGAAAATGTGGCCCATATACACCACAGAATACTATGCAGCCATAAAAAAGGATGAGTTCATGTCCTTTGCAGGGACATGGATGAAGCTGGAAAACATCATTTTCAGCAAACTGACACAAGATCAGAAAACCAAACACCATATGTTCTCACTTATAAGTGGGTGTTGAACGATGAGACCACATGAACACAGGGAGGAGAATATCATATACTGGGGCCTGTCGGGGGGTGGGGAGCTAGGGGAGTGGGGAGCTAGGGGAGAGATAGCATTACGAGAAATACCTAATATAGATGACAGGGTGAATGGATGCAGCAAACCACCATGGCGCATGTATACCTATGTAACAAACCTGCATGTTCTGCACGTGTACCCCAGAACTTAGAAGTATTATAATTATAATTGTCTTTTATAATAATTATAATTGTATTGTTATAATTGTCTTTTATAATTAATAATTATAATTGTATTATTATAATTAGTATTTTAAAAAGATAAAGTAAAATAAAAAATTACACATGTTAAGCAATAAAAAAGATAAATCTTTATGTAAGTATACTTAGGTATCAACTATAAATAATAAACTTTGTTAGTCAAAAAGAACAAAAGGCAGCATTTGTGAAGTGCAATAAAGCAAAGTGTAATAAAATGAGGTACACATGCACTTTGTCTCCATAGAGCACTTCTTATATTTGCCAATTTCCTGCTTATTGCTGAGTAATAAGTAAAGTTTTAATACTGTATCATCACAGCTCAATGGGATGTTATGTGTAACAGTGACCCAGAATAAAATAACTGCATTTCAAAATGCAATTTTCCACTTCTAAACTATACAACTACAGCTCCTGTCTATTAATATACATACAACTACAGTTAATAGCTTTTTTCAGCAAAGCAAAATGTAAGAAAAAGTAGACATATTTTGAGTTCCTCTTTCTCAAGCTGTCTTCAAAAGGATGCCTGCATTATGTAGATGTATTCAGAATGACTATTACACATGTGACATGTTCTAAGATTTGCAAATAATATCTAGAACTTTTTATAATGATTGATCTACTACCATAATGTGACATAAAGGGAAAAGATGCACCATATTTAACGGGAAGAAAAGAACATTTTAAAACTTTGGAAGTGGAATTTATTAATCACATTTTCTTGTCTGTACTATAGTTGAACATTTTGGAGCTATAGTCCTGGTAAAAGTGAACTATGTAATTTGGACGAACTCTCCATTACAAACAACTGGAAAACTGGACAAAGTATAAAAGACTTCTGTTGAAAGCATCAGACAGTTCACAATGCAGTGAAACATTAGGGGAGCAAGGATGGGAGGAGGTGGAAATCGGAGAGCCAATGCTTGCCACTTTTACAAAGATGGTTGACAAGCAAGAAATTAAGCAGAGTTTTCAATAGATTCATAAAGCTAGAGGGACAAAAACGAAGTTCAGGGCACATCTAAGGAAGGATGAATTGTAAAGTGACTAGTCCTGTCAAGATCTAAAACTCGGCTTTTGAAACATTTCAATCTCTGTTTGGATAAAAAAGCTCATTTGAGATTGTTAGTGGCTCTAGCCAGGAAAAAAAAACATAACTCCTCACTAAAAGAAGAGAACATAAATAACTTTGAAATAACTCTATAACTATTTTTATAAAAAACAAGACTAAGTAACTCAAACCAATAGAAACAACTGGTAATAGAAAGAGACACATAACCAAGAAGCTAATGTGATATTTATATAAGTATGAATTGATACTATTATCCATGCTTGCCATCTTCTTTCTGTTTCTCCAACTAAAACCTTCAGATCATCTTGTCTTAGCCCAGTAATATGAAGAGTATTGAGATCAGATGGAATGGTGGCAAATACAAAGGGACTTCAAAAAGTTCATGGAAAACATGCATTTTAAAATTGTTTTTGCACCAAACTAAATTCATACTAACTTGCTATAATATGTTTTAACAGGATTTAGTTTGAGGCACTAGGAAGGATAAGGCAGTTTCAAAAGATCTCTTTATCAGAACAACACGAGTTCTGCTAAAGTTGAAGCAAGAATAAACATCAAATTTATGATGAAGCTTCTGCAGAAGAATGGTGAATCACTGATACTTTATGAAACGTTTATAGGGACAATGCCCCAAAGAAATCAGTAGTTTACAAATGGATAACTCATTTTAAGAACATATGAGACAATGCTGAAGATGCAGCTTTCAGTGGCAGGTCATCCATGCTCATTTGTGAGGAAAAAATTAATCTTATTTGTGCCCTAATTGAAGATAACTGACGATTAACAGTGGAAGCAACAGCCAACACCACAAACATTTCAACTGGTTCAGCTTACCCAACTCTCATTGAAAAATTAAAGTTGACCAAACTATCCACTCAATGGGTGTCAAGACCACTGCACTCAAATCAGCTGAAGAGTGGAGCTTTTCATAGAAATTTTAAACAAGTGGGATCAAGGTCCTGAAACATTTCTTTGAATAATTATAACAAGAGATGAAACATGACTAGCTACCAGTACAATCCTGAAAACAAAGCACAATCAAAGGAATGGTTACTAACAGGTGGAAGTGGTCCAGTCAGAGCAAAAGAGCAAAGGTCCTGCCAACAGTTTTCTGGAATGCTCAATGCATTTGCTTGTCAGCTTTCTGGAGAGCCAGAGAACGATACAAACTGCTTATTCCATGATTATTTCGCCAAAGCTTTAGCAGAGCAATGCCGGGGAAAGCTTCACCAGAGGGTCCTTCTCTACCACAATGCTGCTGCTCATTCCTGTCATCAAGCAGGGCTAATTATTTATGAATTAACTCTGAAGTTTTGTGGCTGCAATTTATCTTGAACTGCCATTTGGGGTTCGATACGAACTATTAGTGGTTTTTAAGCTTTTCTGCGTAGTGACACATCTGAAAAAGTGTGAACTCATATAGAATATAACTACCAGTGAAGTCTCATTCTAGGTAGACTCATGGATTAGTAAACTTGCAAGTTTTGTTCAGCTCCTCTACCTGTAATTCCAATGTCTTCTAACCTATTGGTCTACAAAACACTTATTGATATGTTAGGAAATGAGAGACAATAAAAACCACACAGGAATAGCATATAGGTTCATATAACTCACACAACAGAGTTATGATTCTACCAGTTTGTGACATGAGCATTGGATCTATCAACAATCCAAATGAATCAAATTGTTTGGCTTTCTTTGTAGAATGTAGGGATGATGTATTCTCTATTCACTTAGAACATGTTCAAGTACAAGGCTTTTAACAAAGTAACACACTAAACAGCTATCTTGTATTTGGAGCTCACCAGCATGTTGTAAAAAATATTAAAATGTTACCCTTGGCTGAGTGTGGTGGCTCAATCCTGTAATCTTGGCTCACTGCTGCCTCCGCCTCCTAGGTTCAAGCAATTCTCCTGCCTCAGCCTCCTGAATAGCTGGATTTACAAGTGTGTGCCACCACACCCAGCTAATTTTTGTATTTTTAGTAGAGACAGGGTTTCACCAAGTTGGCCAGGCTGGTCTCGAACTCCTGACCTCAGGCGATCCACCCACCTCTGCTTCCCAAAGTGCTGGGATTACAGGTGTGAGCCACTGCACCCGGCCTAATTTTAGTTTTCTAAATTAAATATAATTGTGATAGAGCAAAATAAAATTGATTGCTTTGAAGTAGAAAAAAAATAAACCTATTATTACTGTACAAAGGATGAAACTATAAGAACCTATTCTGGTATACAACTTTCTAAAATGCAACGGAAAATGCAGAACTGAATTTTTATGGCCATTTTCACACAAGTTGCTGATCAAATTATATCTACTTAAAAAATAACTATACTTTTATCTAAAACTCTAAAATAAAAAAAGCTCTGAGAAGTTTTGCTGTTAAGTTTGTAGCAAGGTCACTTGGCATCAAAACCTGATCTGAATTGATTTAAAAATTTTTTTTAATTTGGTATACATACTTATACATTTTGCTACAGAAATATTAATATTTTTATTATAGTACACTTCCTGACATTCTACCAGAAATATTTAATATATAGTATGTTGCATATTACTGTTCAAAAATCCAAAAGATTTCTAAATTTCAAACATATATAACCCCAGGAGTTTTAGATGAGATTGGACTTGTACTGGTTTTATAAAATGTTATGCCCACAACTTACCAAATTCTCTTCTTTCCAGTGTTATGATTTCAGGATCATCATCATAAATACCTAATTTTAAAAGTACATAAAAATTAAAAAAAATCAAAACTTCAACATGAAAATAAATTGCCACATAAAAATAGATTACTCATTTTAGTCATCAAAAAAATCAAACTACTGTATTAAATCTCTAACTTGGAGAATATGCAACAATTTAAGTGAAAAAATGTAAATAAGACTATCAATATCTTTAGAGTGATCTAAAGATTCTAGAATTCTGATATGGACTCTTGTAGGTGTGTTTGTGGGAGTTCCTAATATTCACATAGTTTCACCTCCATAAAAAATTTCTATTTTTTTAAAACTTTTTATTTAAAAATAATTATGGATTCAGGAAGGTGCAAAAATATAGACTCTTTGTGCACCTTTCACTCACTTTGCTCTAATGGTGACATGTTATGTAGCTATCGTACAATATCAAAAACCAGGAAATTGAGAGTGGTACACTGTTAACTAGACCATAGACCTCATTCAATTTTCAGATTATATGGTTTTTAATACATGGTATCACCTTAGAATATCTTCTACTGTTAAAAAGCTTAGAGTATTTTGCAGAAGCAGACACAAATTATAGTATAAAATTATAGTAAAAAATTAGTAAATATAACTTTTTACCCTAATAATTAAAATTAATGAGAAAATTTCTCATTACTATATAAAATATTCAAATAATATTAATGATGCACAGGGACCAGGGGTCAGCAAACTTTTTCTGTAGAGACCATCAGTAAATATATTAGGCTTTGTGAGATAAATGATTTCTGTCACAACTTCTTGACTCTGCTCTCCAAGTGTGAAATAAGTCATATATATTATGTAAACAAGTGAACGAAACTGCACTGTAATAAAACTTTATTTATAAAAGCAAATGGCAAGCCAGATTTGGTCTATGAAATGCAATCTGCTAACAGCTGATATAGACTATTAAGGTATAGGGAATACACTTGAAAATACTATTTTGAAAAGAAAATGAGCCTTGAGAAGCAAATCCTTCAGATATGAATGTAAAATATTTCACTTACTCTAATACAGAAGCATATTCAGTTCTCAGCCTGCATTTGAGGCTAATAATTAATGACTAGTACAAATACTGGGTCTCTGAACATACCTTCCTGTCGTGATACCTGCATGTTTACTCTCTATCTTCCTTGGTTCCTTTACCTTGTTTCCTCCTTCCACCTTATTTTTTCCTTTATGTTTAAGAAAAAAAACACCTTTCGGTCCTTCCTTCTCATATGAAACCTTTATTGGTAATGTTTCAGGGTATTGACCTTAATGTCAATGGAAGGCCAACACACCTTAAAACATCAATAAGGGTTCCATAAGAGAAGGAAAGCATTTCTATTGAAGAGATCATTATTAAACTTAAAGGAAAATTTAGCCTTTCTTGGAAAATATGATGTTCTAAAATATAGTGAAATTAATATTATTCAATACCTAAAAAATACTGAAAGAAATATTTAACTACTTCTAGTGCAAATATATAGTCATACATCACTTACTGATGGCAACACGTTCTGAGAAATGTGTTTTTAGGGGAATTTTGTTATTGCAAAAACATCAGAGTGTACTTACACAAACCTAGATAGTATAGCCTACTACATACCTATGGTACAAACTTCTACAGCATGTTACTGCTGAATACTGCAGGCAATTATAACACAATGGTATGTATCTTTGTAGTTCAACATAGAAAAGGTACAGTAAAAATATGGTATTATCATTTCAAGGGACCAGCGTCCCACATAGTCAGTTGTTAAATGAAATGTCATTATTATACAGTTCATGAATTCATATTTTTTATTAAACAGCAATCCTTATTTTAAAAGTATTTAATAAGATTTGACCAATACAACTTCATATCTGTATAGATTACCTCTGTATACCAACTGACTTGCCTTTTAAATTTCACTCCCATGGTAAATTAAAAAGTGTCAAAGTGATACATATTACATATATAAGCTAAGTGGTGAAACAAAATTTGCTTTTCTTTTAATCAGATAAAAAACATTTCATAAGTAATATCGTATTACCTTACCAAAATCATAACGATAATAGTTCCAGCTTTCATACTGGCCACCTTGATTATCCTCAAGTCCCTTTTCTCCATATTTGTCATACTTTTTCCGTAGATCTTCATCTTTGAGTACTTCATATGCTCTATTTATTTTTAAAAAATCACCATGTGCATTGGGGTTATTCTGTTAAAAAAATATTGGATATAATACAATTATTTCAGACACACAATCTAAGTTTCTTCAGAACATATATGTAGGTTTAATTAACCTAGTAATTTCTGGGAGACCACAAACCAACATGAGGAGGGGTAGTATAACATGACATGAGTTAACAAGGGTTGAAATGAAATATTTTCAAAGAAAGTAAAATAAAAAAAAAAAAAAAAAAAAAAAAAAAAAAAAAAAAAAAAAAAAAAAAAAAAAAAAAAAAAAGAGTAAGAAAAGCAATGAAATAATTGACTCTTCAAAAGGTTGACAGACGTTACCAGATGATGTAAGTTATTCTTCCTAAAAAATGCAGCTGAGTGAAACTCATAAGCCTGTTGAAACCTTAATTTCATAAATACTTATCACTACTATAACAGTTATAAATCAAGAAATTTGTAGGTTATTTTTCTATTTGAGGCACAATCAACTTATTAATTGAAAAAACAATGTGCTCCAATCTATCAGATATTTACATAAAAACCGGTATCAGAAAATAACCCAAAACTGATCCCAGCACTTTGGGAAGCCGAGGAGGGTGGATCATTTGAGGTTAGGAGTTTGAGACCAGCCTGGCCAACATGGTGAAGCCGTTTCTACCAAAAACAAAAAAATTAGCTGAGCAGTAGTGATGCATGCCTGTGATCCCAGCCTGTGATCTCAGCTTCAGCAGGTGGAGGCAGGGGAATCCCTTGAGCTAGGGAGGTGGAAGTTGCAGAGATCCAAGGTGGTGTCACTGCACTCCAGTCTGGGCAAGACAGTGAGACCCATTCTCAGCAAAATGAAACAAAACAATCCAAAATTGGATTGGAAATGTTTCTTCCTTGTTACTGTGTTTCATAAAATGTGTTCCTGAAGGATGCTTTCATTTAAATAATACTTGGGTGGTAGAAGATCTACCATCCTTCATATGGAAACTTTAAACAAATGAAAATCTTAAACAGAATGCAGATCTCAGGAAGATAGTCCACTAAACAAATGTTTTAAAGAAGTATTGCTTCTCTTGCTCAGCTTTATGCACTGAAATAATCCTATTTTAAAACTTCTACTTAGAAAAAATTATACTATGATTTCTCTTTGTTAATGATGAACACTAAATCTCATTAAGAAATAATCAAATAAATTTAAAAAACCATAAAAATTAAAATGAATTTAGTTTTGAAAGCTTTACATTATTGGATATACAAATATTTATGACTGAAATTATATTCAGCTGCTCTCAAGTATTTACAAAACTTTCTAACTCTGGTTTGTGGACTTGTGCATGGGAAAATAGTGAAAGTTAAAACACGCTATTATTAGCTATTATTTCCATTTTTAAAAGAAATATTTTTTGTTACTGTTCGAAAATACTTGATCTTAACCTATTTTACTAAGAAAACTACTTCAACTATTTCACAGATATTATAGTTTGTTTGGGGGTTAACGTCTTTAATACAATTGTTGGGAATTCATTTACAAATTAAGAGGGAACTGAATTTTTGGAACTGACATTCCTTCACAGGATTCTAAGTAAACCAGAACATTTTGCTGATTTTGTTTCTAGCATACAAGTTGAATTATAGTTTTGACATATAATTATTCTTAAGCATTTGATCATTTAAAACAATTTAAGTAAATATCAAAATGTATCAAAAATACAACCAAATATTTTGAAAACAAATGTTTACCTACCGGGTTTTTATCAGGATGCAACTTTAATGCCAACTTCTTGAAAGCTTGTCTTATTTCTCTACTGCTTGCAGTTTTGGATACTCCAAGCAAACTGTAAAAATCCTGATCTGTGCCCACTAAAAGGGCCATATACACTATCAGAAAACAGAGAATGATCCTTTTCAAGTCTCTGATATAGTCATCTTGATTTAACCAGACTCCCATTCTCTTTCTTATGCAAGTTCTGATTTAAGTGAACATTAAGATTCACTGCTGGTTCCAGTTGATGTAATATGCAAATTTGAGAACTTCTGTCCACATAACTTCAAGGGTGAATCAAGCATCACAAATTTGTTCCCAAAAATGTTAATCTAAGAAAGGAAAGCAGGCAGTTAAAATACATTTTGAACTAAACAATAACAGCACAATTTATCAAAGAACATCATCAGCAATACAATTTCCTTTAAATGGCAAATCAGTGTGAATGCCCCACGCTCTATTTTTCAGTTTCTTACATCCATGTAGCTAGATTGGTGAAATCACTGAAGACAGCAGATAAAGGTCATGAGTGGTAGTAGCTAGATAGAACACACACACTCAGCAATTTATATATTGAGAAAAGACCTGAGGAGCATCAGAACATAAAGCTGGCAATAAGCTATATATCTTTCCTCTGTCTACCCAGTTTTAGTGTTGCCTTTTATACCTCTTCCTTTCAGCTACTTCTCTACCCCCTAAAGCTGTCTAATTTTCATTTTCAACAGGGTTCACTTGTTTGGGAAGGACGAGAAAGAAACATAGGGTTCTTTACTTTTCATATAACCCTACCAAAAATGGCAGATAAGTATACTGTTGTAATAGACAATATACACAGCAGTCCGTCTTTTTCCGGGAGTTTTCTCAGGAGGTGCTTATATTGAATTTAAGTAGAGGCCATTTTCTAAAATAGTAGAATAATAATTGTAAGTTAACAGTGTAATTTTATTGCAAAGTTGATGTTTGGTGTAAGCAAAAACAAAAAGAAAAGGGAATCGGTTAGACATGCTCTCTGCAGGGCAAAAACAATCACTACTTCATCATATTTCAACTGCTATATCTTAGTTCCAAATATCCGTAATGCTTTAAAAAATCTAACTCTCCTTGCACCTCAGTTTCTCCTTTTTTCATTTAATTCTAAATGTCTATTTTTAAATTTTTCTCCTTACCTGTGAACGGTCTTCAGGTCATTTCTAATATGTCCTTTTCAGTCCACAAAAATATGCCTTTGAAAAATACAATGATGCAGAGATTAACAAGTATCCAAATAAGAAAACCATCAGAAAAAGAGAGGACACAGTCTCAATCCACACTCTGAGTAAGCTGTTCCTAGCTCAGGGGTTGTTCTCAGCGTGGGTGTGGCCGAACTGCCCGTGGCCCGTGCTACGCGGCAGGTGGAAGCGCCAGATAAACGCAAGGCGAAAGCTTTCGCGTTGCTATCACTGCAGAGTGGGACAGGGGAGGGGAAAGATGGAGCAGAGGGCGAACAGGGCTGTCAAGTGTTGCTGGTGTCTGAAGTCTCAGGCCGGACTCAGAGAGAAGGGAGCCTAAGTAACAGAGAGGAAACAGCCGGGCAGAAGAAGTGTGGTGTAGAAAACAGGGAGGAGGAAGACGGGGAGCGAGAATACAATACTCAGGTCTTAGGAGCGCAGAGGAAGGGAGGTTCGGCGCGCAGCCATTCCGCCCCTCCCTGACAGAGGGCCCAGGCCACCACCGGGTCCAGCAAAGCCCTGGTCCCGGGCCCAAGCCCACCTTGCCAGCGCGGGGTCGCTTCCTGTAGCTACTCTGCCATCCTCAAACCCTGGCGGCCGTCCCCGCCTGGCCGAGCGCAACCACAGCGTGCGGGAGAGTAACACACGCACTCTCCGACTGCCCGGTCGCCGCGCACGGTTTGGGGAAGGTCCAGCCACACCGGCGACTACCAGCGCGCGGCCGGCACCGGTCGGCTCCTCACGCGCCGGTCTCCACAGCGAGCCGGGGCGGAGCCTGGCGCGGAGCATTGTGGGAAAGGCGTGGAGGACGCTGCCTGGGAAACCCGTTGCGGGCCAGAGACCTTGGCGGCAGGGTAGAGAGGGCGGTGTAGGTTTAGGTTGACGTGGCCATGTGCGCGGGATCCGGCTCCGGCTCCGGCACCAACCCGGACCTTGGGGACTTGCCGCAGCCAAGAAGCCCGCGCGCCCTCAGGAATGCGACTGGCGCCTGCAGCGGGCGGGGACTGTGGCCGGCGAAGCCCGCCTCTTCCTGCTTCCGTTGCTAGGGTGACGGGGAAACCTGGAGGGCGGGTTTTGGGGTTGAGTTCCCGGAGACTCTTTCAAAAGGAAGACGGAGCTTTGGAGGATTTGTCTGGGTGATGTTTGGGTGAGGCCAAGAGGCCAAGTTTGGCGAAGAAAGAACTTGCCTGAAGCGACACTGTTTGCAATATCAGGCTAGCGGACTGAAGAGGCAGTGGGAAACTTCAAGGAAATTAGAATATTTACAATTTTGTGTGAGCGTATTTATCAACAAACATTTGAGACTTCCACAGTATTTCCTGGCTTCTGAGTCATACAAGCGAGAAACTGGGAAGTTATCCGTGTTCGCCTCTCTTACTGTTACATCCTACTGCTATGGTACAGAAACTGCATTTTGACCCACAGCAATATAACAATTGAAGTGGTTATATTTACATTTTCTATATTTAAAAGAGAAAACATCATGCCTAGAGGATACCTGCGTGTAACATCAGCCCTAACATGAAATAAGTTGTGATTGGTAACAGTTTCGGGGGAGTAAATCAAGTGTCAGCTTCTAAAAAATTGGAAGACTATACAGGATTATGGCTAATTAAGTGGTAGGAAAGAAGAGGAAGTAGAATGAACAAAGGCAAAAATATTAGAAGCAGCCTGATGTAATAGTAGATAATATGTCTCAGTACTTGGTCTAAGCACACATGTGGTAACTCATTGAATCCTCCAAATAATCTTACAAGATAGTGGCTATTATACCCATTTCCCATTGGAAGAAACTGAGGCAACTATCTGAGAGCTGGGATTCACACCTAAGCAACCTGGCTTTAGAGACTGTCATGTTAAGCATTACGACACACTGTAATGAGCAAAATGTTAAATTGAAAAACAAACAAAACTGGAAAATTAAGCAGGGACCAGATTACAGACGGGTTTTTATGCCAAGATGAAGACATAGATTTCTATCTCTTAGGTGATGAGGACGCTTTTAAAAAAAAAGACTGAGATTGTATTTTTTATCATTCTGGCAGCTATTGGAGAGAAGATGAAAAGCATACAAAATTGGAGAAAGAGCAGGAGAATGTTAGACAAATAAGGAAATGATTTAAGAGATGGTGGGCCGGGCGTGGTGCCTCACACTTGTAATCCCAGCACTTTGGGAGGCTGAGGCAGATGGATCACTTGAGGTCAAGAGGTCCAGACCAGCCTGGCCAACATGGTGAAAACCCATCTCTACTAAAAATGCAAGAATTGGCCGGACATGGTGACGCACCCCTGTAATCCCAGCTACTGGGAAGGCTGAGGCAGGAGAATACCTTGCACCTGGGAGGCAGAGGTTGCAGTGAGCCAAGATAATACCACTGTACTCCAGCCTGGGCGACAGAGCAAGATTCCCCGTCTTAGGGGAAAAAAAAAAAAAAGGTAAGAGATGGTGATTGGTTGGATATGGGAGATAAAGGAACGATTTAACGTTAACTTCTGATTTCACATGGCTGAATACTACCCATTTAATGAAGATCTGTTTAGGGAAAAGATAAAGGGTTCTGATTTGGGCATATCTAGTTCAAGGTTCCTAGATTATGTCTTAGTGAATATATCCTGTATAAAATTCATAGGTAATATCTAGATTGGAGGAAAAATAGGAGAACAATCTAAGATCACCCAAAGAAAATGTGCAGAATAAGCTGTGGGCCAAGGATTAAAACTTGAGAAATTCTAACCTCAAGCATGAAAGCACACACGAAAAAATAATTTAAGCTTCATGAAGGTGGATTTTTGTTCACTTTATTTACTGTTATGTCTCCAGGTGTTCTTACTATAAGATAGGTACTATATAAATATTTTTTGAATGAAAAAATGTTAATTTGAGAAATAGGCTGAAGAAGAGCCCATACAGGATGTCAAAAAGAGATGATCTGAGATGGACAGAAAGAACTTAACATCAAGGAAGTTAAAGTGGGTCAGATAAGATACTGACTACAACTTGTTAATTAGGTCTGGCAACTAGGAGGTTATAGGGACCTTAGTAATCAGAATTTTGGTGGATGGTAAGGTTTGATGTTAGAGTGTAGTAGACTAGAGATTGGCTAGGAGCTGAGCTGAGGAAGTGGAAATAGCAAGTATATATACTCTGTTCAAAGTTTGGGTGAAAAGAGAAGGAAGGAAACTGTCATGTAACTAGAAGAGGATGTGGATTCAAAAGAGGAAATGCTTTAGGCTTGGAAAGACTTGAGCAAGTTTATAAGCTGAGTAGAAGCCAAAAAAGAGAGAGGCCACAGGTATGAGAGGGATGGAGTCAGAAGCACAGATGGATTGATTAATCTTGCATAGTTCATTTATTAATTAAAATAGTTTACCGTTCTCTGGGTTAGGTCAATGGGGTTACTGTGGTGAACAAGGACATAGCTCTGCCCTCAAGAACTAGGATAATGGAGGACACATCAATTATTCAAACAAATCTGTAATTATGAAGGAAGAATACATAGAGTTGTGATGTTGTGACTTACTCTAGCGGCAAAGGTTTTTCAAAGGTCTTACCAAAAATAAAAATAAAAAAGAAGAAATTTAACATATATGGGCAAAATATTAGGGAATATCATAGGCAGATTAAACAGCAAGTGCATATTTATTGTACTTCAAAAGAGCATAGGTGTTAAAGGAACAAAAAGAACACCAGAATGTAGCAAGCCAAAAGGAGAGAGTCAACAAAATGGGAATGCAAAAGTAGACAGAGACAAGGTTTGGTTTGTTTTAAGGAATTTGGGCCTTTTTCTATGAGCAATGGGAAGCCATAGGAGAGTTTAAACAGTGTAATGTATTTAATTATTACTTTACTTTTAAAAAATTGGAAAAAATTTCAGTTATAAGAATATTAAATATATAGAACAAAAATTTTGTTTCCTCAGCCACTTGAGAATAAGTCGTTAACTTCTTGTCTCATTATCTCCCAAAACTGGTTTATATTTTTTAAAAACAAGGACATTCTCCTACATAATCAAAACACAATAATCAAAATCCAGAAATTAACATTAATGTCTTATTATCATCTAATCCTCAGATCCCTTTTAGGTCTTGCCAATTGTCCCAATAATGTCTTTGCCGTACAAAGATCTAGCCAGCAGCTACTTGTTTAAATTTAGTGTCCTGATATTTTTTCAGGCTCCCTCAGTTGGAAACAGTTCTTCAGTTTTTCCTTGACTTTTTAGATTTTGACACTTGTGAAGGATACAGGTCAATTATTTTGTAGATGTCTTTCTGTGTCAACTCGTCTGATGTTTCCTCATGATTAGATTTAGGTTATGCATTTGGGAAGAATCTAGCAGAACTGACCCTATATTTTATCCCTTGCAGGCCCCGAATTATGATTTGTCTCATTGTTGGTACTTTTAACTTAGATTGCTTCATTATAGAGATGTCTGAGAGGCTTTTCTACTGCAATGTTACATTTTTCCTTTTGTAATTAATAAGTGCTTTATGGGAAGTACTTTGAGACTCTATGAACATATTCTATTCCTCATCAAACTTTCAATTTATTTATATTATTATGGATTCATGGATTCTTAATTTATTCAGTGGGTTAAAATCCATTACCATTTATTTAGATGTTTAAATAGTTTTATATTCGACCAATGAGAATTCTTTCAGGCTGGCTTTTGTGTCCTTTTGACAATTCCATCATTCTTGGGGTATGCTTGTTTTAGTGCACAATAAGATGTTCCAGGCTCATCCAGGACTTTTCCTGGCTCAGCCATTATGCTAGCCATTTCTCTAAGAAGCCTTGGTTCTTTTGAAGAATGGTATTTACACAGCAAGACCTAGGTGCTAGGCATGCATCATAGCATGGGGTTGCTGTTGCTTCCAGGCCTTCTTAGTGGACACAGATAGAGAATATGTGTACGTATATATACACACATACACATATGCACTTCTACATTTACGTATGTATAAAACTGTCAGTTTACACCAATGTTTTCAATTGCAGTATAATATCACAGGTATCAGATTTATTGTACTACAGATTTATTGTACTTTCTATACATGTAGCTCTTCTCTCTGACAATAAGAAAACTGATTCCCATTATCACTGAATGAGTATGTATATGTAACCAATCTGCCATTGCTGATGCTCCCCATATCCCCTGTGCAATTTCTCCCCTCTTCGCACTTGGGTTCCCACACCTTATACTGCACTGCTCACCTGAGCAGATGCTCTGCTTACTCCACTCAGGTTCCAACCTATTCCAGGGTGTTTTCTGGCAAGGACATACGTGTCATTCTCAAAGGGTTCCGATACACAGTGACTCACTCTCTCCCCCTTATATGAATACTCTCCTCTCATTGATTGGGCTCTGACACTGCTCCAGCCCCTTCTCATGGCTTTGGTCTTAATTATTGAAGATGGGGAAGGGCATGATTTTTTTTTAATAATTGTTTTAGCTAAATTTTGAAGAATATGTTAGAGGAGAGCAACGGAAGAGAGAGGAAAACTGGCTCTGTTACTACTGAAATAGCCCAGGTGAGAGATGAGGATGGCTTGAACTAGGGTAGAGTTAGCATAGATGTGGAGAAATAAACAGAAGAAAAAAGTGGAGCCCATGTTTACTGCAGCAATATTCACGTTAGCCAAGATATGAAGACAACTTAAGTATTCATTGATAGATAAATAAAAAAATGTGATATATATACCATGGACTATTATTCAGCCATAAAAAAGAAGGAAATCCTGCTATTTGTAACAACATAGATAAATGTGAAAAACATTACCTATACTAACTGAAATAATCCAAATACAGAAAGGCAAATATTGTATAATCATACTTATCTGTAGACTCTAAAAAAGTAAAACTCATGGAAGCAGAGAATAAAACAGTGGTTGCCAGGGGATAGGGTGGAGGGGGAAATGGAGAGATGGTGGTCAAAAAGAACAAACTTTAAGTTGTAAGATAAATATGTTCTGGGGATCTAATGTACAGCATAGTGACTATAGTTAACAATATATTGTCTCCTTTCATTTGGTAAGA